TTCAAGAAAAACTCGGACGTTAATACCAACTGGTTTTATTTCAACTCCCATCAACAACTGACTATCTCTGAATGTCAACAAACCATCGGTGAGAATGCAACCAAGTATACGGGGTGCGTTTAATAACTTTAAGTATATATGAAAAAAGCTGTTTCAGGAGAACTTTCTTTCAGTTCGTGTCTGAAAGTTACTTCTTTGCATGATCTACACATCCATGTATAGAGTTACTTATTTTCAAATTGATTAATCCTTCCTTTCTTTGGAAGATTCTCTCATCCATTTTTTTGTATCAGATGGAGTAGTAGAAAGCCAAAACCTTTCTTTCCCAAAAAACTTTAAGGCCTAATGGCACACATATCTCATCATTTTTTTAAATTTCTTATGGAAGTGGCCGCCATTAATTTAGAATACACGTGTATTCTAAATGAGCCATTTCCTACCTGCTATCAAACACGTAATGATTAGTTTAAAATGGAAGGAGTAGAAAGAGACTATTATTAAAAAGGCCATTATTATTATTATAATAAAAAGTGTACTCATTGAATAAATTCTTTTCTGGTAGTTATTTGACGTAGTCCTCTACCAACAAATGTGCCTCGACTAATTGAATTGAAGTTCCAGATTATTTGTTTTTTTTCTATACATGCATGTTTTCAAATAATGTTCGAAGTGAACAACTGTTCTACAAACTGATATTTTTTGATATTGATGATAAGAATTAGTAAGACGTTTTAGAATTATTAGACATATTATTTTTATTATATCTTCAAACTTTCTGTATGAAGATGTGAATCAGTTTCTGTGCATGTCACTGTGATAGTAAACATTTTTCATATCAACGTACTGGTGAATTGTTACTCCTGATATTTTTTATATGATGTGGGACGAGATTATATAATCGAGGAGCTAAGTATGAGTAAGACCTTTGAAGGATGTTTTTCCTTGAATTCGGGACATATGAATTATTTTTGTGTCGAATTTCATGTTGGTGTTCTATTTTTCTTAATTCATGTCTATTAATATGGTCTTATTATAGTTTTGAGATGTCTAGAATTGATGTTTCTTTACATAATGACTCGGTCGGGTAAGTTCTTTTTTTGAGGTGGATAATTTTCAATACTGATTGTTGTGCTTGTTCTAGGTGTTTCAGAAAAGTTGTGTTTGCTGCTTTCCAAGCAATTATTCCGTATGTGAGGTGGGTTTCGAACAATGTATAGTATAGCATTCGCATCTGGGCTGTTTGTAGGTATGGTCTCACGTATTTTAATCTATATGTAACGAATCATAGTTTTTTGACTGTGTAATCAATATGTGCATCCCATTTTAGCTGAGCGTCAATATACAGTGCGAGTCTCTAACATGGAACAAATTCACTAAATCATAGGTGTTGTTTTCTTCAGAAATATGTTCGGACACGTCGATTAGTATTTTAATTTGCCTTTATTTTAATGTAAAAAAAGTATACAGTGTGTCTCAAATATGAGATATGACGTCATCGATAATTTTTTTAAATGACAAGCCTGTTTTTTCAATGATTTTTATTGAAGGGTTCAACAAGTTGCACATGCCTGCCAAATTTCAATTTTTTACTCTTTGTCCTTTGAAAGATATTTAACAAACATTATCTAATTCAAAAAATGAATTCAATTCAATCTTTCTTTAACAAGTGTTCAAAATGTTGTCCATCTACTAACAGACAATACCCTAAACGTAACTGAAACTCGTTTTGAACATTTCTGATTACTTCGCCGGAAATTAGCCTACACTCCTGTCTTATTCGTTCTTTTAATCCTCAATATTTGCCAGTTTGGTCTTAAAAACTTTGCTCTTCAAGTAACCCGATAAGAAAAAGTCCAAAGGTGTTAAATCCGGAGACCTAGGTGCCATTCATAGGGTCCTCTTCTGCCAATCCATCTGCCTGGAAATACATCATTCTGGTACTCACGGACAGGTCTTGTAAAATGAGGAGGCGCGCCATCCTGTTGAAACCAGATGTTTCTATTCAGGACGTCAGCTTCTATAGGACAAGGGAACAAAATAGCCAAATTCGGAACTAGGTCCTTCTGCAAAAATTCTAAATATCTTGCTCCAGTAAGATTTTCTTGGAAGAAAATCGGTCCTATAAGTCGATCACCAACAATCCCTGCCCAAACATTGACTTTTTCTGGATGTTGAGTGTGGCTTTCGCTCATCCAGTGTGGATTTATGTCTGCCCAATAACGACAATTTTGACGATTTACCACACCATTCAACATAAACGTTGATTCGTCAGAAAATAAAACGTTTTCTTTTTGTACAACATTCCTGTCTAGTAGATCCATCATTTGTTCGTAAAACTGGAGTCTTCTATCTGGATCATCTTCGGTGATTTCCTGGAGGATTGTTATTTTATATGGATGAAATTTTTCAGCTTTATGAACTCTTGACACTGAAGACTGGCTAATTTCGAGTTCCCTAGCTATCTGCCTAGTGGGGACATGGGGATTTTCTTCGACAGAGAGAAGAACATTTATTTTGATCTCTTCACTGAGCGCACTCCGACGATGTTCATTTGTTATTCTTAAATGCCCATTTTCCCTGAACTGTTTTCGATCTTGCTTACGGTACTTGGCGATATGGATGGTAAATCAGGATACTTGTCTCTGAATAAATGGGTAACTCTATTTTGTGTTCTTGTCCTATCTCCGTAGCCAATCATCATTAGAATGTCAATCTTATGTGTTTCAGTTAAGTACGGCATTTTACTAATGGCGAACATCAAACTGTGAAACGACTAACAGTTTTTGTGCACAAATATGATTGGAATGCGATACTACTCTCCTTACTTTTTTTTGATAACTTTTTTATGACAATATTTTTTATATGAAAATAAGGGCTCTTTAAAATACTAATCGACGTGTCCGAGCATATTTCCGAAAGAAACAACACGTTTGATTTAGTGAATTTGTTTCATGTTAGAGACTCGCACTGTATATACCAAGGTATTTCAATGTATCTACTGATGAAACGGAAAGTTCTACGTCATCGTATTTTATTGAAAGTGATTTGAAATCTGGTAATTATTGGCATACGAAGTGAAGGTAATGTAAAATGTTTTGGAAATATTTATACTCAATAATTTACTTTCCAACCATTTAATTATCATTTTGAAATTTTTTTCTGCTTTTTGTTTCAGAGAATGCCATGAATCCGACTGATAAATAATTGCAGTGTCGTCAGCAAAACTGATTATTTAACTTTTCAGGTAGATGTTAAAAAGTAGTGGACCCAAAACGGTTCCCTGATATACGCCGTACTCAACAGTGTGAATGTCACTCTTCGCGTCTTTAATTTTCACACTTTGTTTTCTTTGCTTCAGATAACTGCACAGTAATGAGTACTGTAAACCTGTGAATCCGATGCTGTCCAGTACTTCTAGCAGTTGATCGTGACTGACAGTGTCAAAAGCTTTTTTCAAATCTACGAATATACATAGGGATGGTACATTTTTATCTACGTATTTACTAATGTGATTCGTGATATGGCGTCTACAGTTGATTTGCCTATTGAAAACCGTAATGATTTTCAGATAAAATATTATTTTTATTTAGGTATGCGCTGATTCGCGATTTCAGGATAGTCTCAAAAATTTTCGAGAAATTTGTAATAACAATTATTGGACGGTATATAGTTCTCCGAATTGGTCCTATTTCCAGATTAAAATATTGGTGTTATAATAGCAAGTAACTGAAGAATTACCGTAACATATATACCTAGTAATCTCACACCATCTCACACATTAATAAATGCCTTTTAGGTCCCCATAATCATGATTTCACTGGGAGATAAGAATTCAATAATAAACTAGATACTCGGATCAATGACTGGTGAGGAATTGGGCAAATGTTACGGCTATAAAAAAATCGATTTTACAGAGAAACTTTCTCATTCATCAGCTTCGAATAACCGTGAGCGTTTAAAACTGCGTAAACCTTGCGAGATGAAAGTAAAAATCGCAATATATCGAGGTCATTTTCAATTAGTAGTGAACAAATCAAAGAATCAAAAATTTTAAATATCGCGGTTAATTAAAAAAATTATCATAAAAGTATCACCAGCGAGATTCTTTTATTTTTTCTTTGAAAATCATATGTCGTTAGATCATAATTGAATACAACTCCACAATTTGATGCCCCTCATATGATGTGGATATTGATATGCTTGAAAGTGTTCAAAACAAGTATTTAAGGTATTCTGCATACAAACTGGGATATCATATCGGTGAATATAGGTAACTCATGGAAGATCAGAATCAGGTCTTACGCTAATTCACAAAATAATTAATGGTAGCAATAATTCCCCGGAACTTGTTGGACGTATAACTTCAAATTTGAATCCAAAGAGAACAATAAATACATAAATTTTCAAAGTACCCTTTCATCATACTAACTATGACCAGAATGAGTCTATAGGTACTCCTCTGGTACTCCTCAAACTGAACAGTTTGAGGAGTGCCAGAAGATGACAGTACTACCAACTGTCGAAAGCGCTCACAGATAATTAATAGAAGATATAAAGCTTCAAATCCTTTTTGTAGAATTTAATATTGAAATTCAATTTGTATATGAAAGTAGCTGTTTCATGAAGGCTTTTTCTTCCAGATTTGTGTCTGAAAGTTTCTTCTTTGCATTTTCTACACATCTATGTATACAGTTACTTCTTTCAAAATTGATTACTTCCTTCTTTTCTTTGGAATATTCCCACATTTTTCTATATCAAGATGGAGTAGTAGAAAGCCGAAAACTTTTCAATTTTTCTTTGGAATCATTTAAAAAAGACTCTGGAAAGATTGTGATTGATTGTCTTATTTTTGCCTTTCTGTTTTTATGTTTTTTTACTTACACCTAGCTGATAGTAAGTACATATGTGTGAATTCTTTTTATTATTTTGTAAAAATAGGCAATGCTGTAAATAAATTAAAAAATAAATATTGCTCTTACCCGTCCATTGAATTCTTTTTTCCTTGTAATACCTTCAGAAGTTCTGCAGCTTTGCTTATTTCCACTGAAAACGGATTATAATCACTGAAAATACCTACTCTAAATCCATAATAGATAAACAGTTCGATTCCAAGGATAGACATCATTAATATTATCTCTTTATTAATTCTGGTGACTGATACGTATCAGTATAGGTAGATGATAATTTATTATGGACTATTTATATTTACGGGGACTGCGATTTTCTGTTATCGAAAAAAAATGGATCAAAGAATTTGCATGAAATGTTGTGNCAGCTTATTTTTGACCGAATGAATGAAAGTACATGATTTGAATTTGTGTAAAGATGACAAATCTAATAGTTTTTTTGCTTTATACAAGTTGACTTAAGGCTTCTAGTATTTACTCTTGAATATACACTTTATAATTTTATTCTGAAGTTTTTTTAATTGGTTTCAGTAAGGAATTTGTTGCTATTCCCCATACTGATACTAGATGTTGAATTTTGGAATATACTATTGAAAAATGAATCAATATAAGGTATTTCAGGGGTGCAACGTTTCTTATTTTGAATAAAATTCCAATTATACGAGAATTTTTTTTTTCTTATTATTTCAGTGTGTTGTCTCCATGATACATTTTCATCTAGAATAAGACTAAGAAATTTTGCACTAGAGAGTATTTAATATTTTCATTATTGAATTTAATTGGATATTTTGGATCAATTGATATGAACATATATGAAGATTTCTGAAAATGCAGTGATATTTTGTATCATTGCAGCCATAAAGATATTTAATCAAAGTCTTATGAAATAATAATTTTGATTTCTTGTACACTATTTCCTTTGTAAATTGAAGTGGTATCGTCGGCAAACATTGGAATTTACCTAAAAAATTTACTGTAGCCAAATAATTGAAATATATTAGAAACAAAACAGGTCCAAGTATTGATCCTTGCGATCCCACATATTTCTTTGGAACTAATTATGTCGCCAATATAGACATATTGCTTTCTATTCATTAAATGATGTTGAAACCAATTATAAACTAAACCTCGGATACCAATGTTCAATGTTATGCCTTTATTCAGAAGAATTTTATATCAACGATATCAAATGCTTTCCTCAGGTCTAATGAAAGAACTCCACATTTTTTGTTTGAATCTAAATCTAGCTGGATTTATGGCATATAAACTGCGGACTCTGTGTCACAATTTTTTCGAAGAATTTTGACCAAAAAAAACGGTCGCTTGAACATCGTTGGGGAATTGTTGAATGTCAACGGCAATTCCGATTTACTTGAAAGGGTCATAACTGGTGACGAATCACGGGTATATGGTTATGACATCGAAACCAAAGTCCAATCGTCCCAATGGAAGAGCCCAGGAGAGCGAAGACCAAAAAAGCACGCTAAGTTTTATTAAATATCGAAGTTTTGCTCACTGTTTTTTTTTCGATTACCGTGACGTAGTGCATCGGGAATTTTTGCCATATCGTCATACGGTTAATAAGAAGGATTATCTTGAAGATAAGTTCCGCTTGCTAGAAGAAAACGTTCGGTATTGTGTAAAAACAATTCATAGTTTTTGGATCACGATAATGCAACTGCTCACTCGTCATTCCTTGTTTGTAATGTTTTGGTCAAAAACAACATCGTAATCATGCCTCAGCCACCGTATTTACCAGATTTGCCCCCCTGCGACTTTTTTCTATTCTGAAGATTGAAAAGACCCATGAAAGATAGGCGTTTTGCGACGATTGAGGAGATAAAAACCGAATCGTTAGGAGAGCTCAAGGACATAACAAAAAAGTGCATATCAGAACTTCTTCGAGGATTGGAAAAACGCTGACACAAGTGTATTATATCTGAGGGGGACTAGTTTGAAGGGGACAAAATAGAAATAGATTATTTTTTGAACATACAGGCTTGAATTCTTAATTTCGTGAATATTTTGTTGTATCAACGAGAATCAAAGAAAATAGTGTCGTCAGCATTTTTTTTTTGAAAATAATGCAGTTGGACACCTTTTGTGATCAAAATTATTGTGACAGTTTAAAATAAAACACTGGTATACTTTCACACATTCTAAAACCTATTTGTTGTACGTATTACTATTTACGGTTAATTTAAAGAAATTTATTAATCATTATCAAAAACACTTACCTTTTTCACTGTGATTCATACTTGCAAATCGACTGTAACCTCAAACACGATATTGCGACATTTCTTTCGAAACGTATTGAGATATATTGGAAGTTACAGAAAGGAAATCCACCGGGGGGAATAGGAATATCGAAAACGTGATATCCGGTGTATTCAATTATACCTGCCTTTGGTTTCTTGAGGAGAAGACAATCAGATATAAAGAGAGGAAATGGCGAATTGAAAAAAAAAACGGAAAAAATTTGTTTTTGTATAATATGCAGGGATATTTGAAGACAATTATAATTTTTCTCAAATAACGAATACCACGAATAAAATTAAATCAGCTTCTAACAACTAGCCAGTGGTACCTAAGGATTGAAAATAACTATTCCTTACTGATACCATAATCAAGCAATCATTAGTACCTTGTTTTCACTGTTTGATTACGATAACAATAACTAGAGCAACTTTTTTACATTTTTTTGTACAATTGGTCTAAAAGTGGTACTTTTCATATTAGATTTTTCATAACCATAAGCATAATAACAGTCAATAGCCCATAAATTGGGTAATCTTTTTTTATTCTATTTACATTAGGTATATAAATTATATTTTACGCAATTCTTTATTTCTGAAAAAATCCAAATGGATATCATCAAAGAGTAATTTTATTTTTAATCTAAAAAAGCCCAATTATACATTGTTGTTCATCTCTCTTGATAGTTATTTAACTAGAAGAGTTTTGAAAATATTGGTCATTCTTATCTCAAGAACTTAAAATTTTGGTTATTGCTTTATCGATAGAAAATGTATCCAAAATTGAAATATTTTGAGAGAAAATTTTCAAAATCTATGAGTCTCCTGTTTTTCAAACACTAGACGAATGATTGAATCTCCTCCGAGTGGCGAGTAGTAGAATCAAACCCATCGAATTCTACTTTTATTTAGGCACAATAGATGTCTCGGCTAATAGTAACTATAAACAAAATTTCATGTTTATTCAACATATTTTTATACAAAAATGGTACTTATTTGATCTGAATGGAAGGAAAACCGTAACGTCTGTTTCATATATTTTAAACAGGAAATAAGCTTTATATTCACAGGCCATCTTCAGCCCAGCAGTCAAAACTGCGTTCGTGCAATTAGAACAGAGATGTTTTCTAATGAGTTTTTACTAGAACGCGAATTACTTTTTTATTGTGGAAGACATTTCGGTTACCTTATTCAAAATGCAGAGCGCACCACAATCTTCATTGATTTATGATTTATTCATGTTGTGCGCAAAATGATAATAGTGGCGGTGTCGAAAATTATGATAAGAATCTTTAAAATTACCAGGTTTAATATCGTGCTCACTTGAAGCACTCTTTGACGATTCATTAAAACGTTTCTGAGTGCATTCATTAAAAGTCTTGCGAAAACCCTCAATAACCTAACATGTTTTTCCCTTTTCCAGTCTTCTTAAATTATAGGAAAACAGCCCTATCAATACAATTAATTGAATATTCAAGGTAATTGTCGACAAAAAACGACTTTCAACTTGTTACTGTTAATTTCGTGACGTCATTTCAGATTTTTTTCTTAAAAAATGGGTGGGCAAGTCAGCCAGGTTTTTCAATCAGGCAGTGCCCTTTTGACTAACGGGCACGGGCACAAGGTGTCCGAAACGACCAGACGTCGTGTAAAGGACATCTTTGATTCCCTGACAGCCAACCCAAGAATTGGCGTTCAAAGATTAGAAGGGCACCTTCTGCAGCTTCCAAAGGTAAATATCCAGTACCCTACGCTGTAGACGAAAGGTAGATCTGTCCAAACTAGCATAAATCCCCCACACAAAATCACGAATTTTGACTTGTGTAGACTCGTTAAGTCAAACTACTAGTTGTGTAGTATCTGTTTATATTTGCAGAATGTTTCTTCATTTACTTTTCAGAACGAAAACATCCTGTCTATTCACGATGAAGGGGGTTACAATTTACTGCAAAGATGCGTGGGGGCCAATAATGTGGAACTCGTTCGGTGGCTGCTGGCACGTCACAGTTCAGCAGATGTCAACAGGTTTCCTTGCAGCCTTCCTCTCCACATTGCTTGCCTGAAAGGGTGAGTCAAAGTATGATGTAAGAATATTGCTTCCTCAAAATTATTTGACAATATGTAAAAAAATAACCTGCACACAAAGCTTGTAACCTGCAGAAACATTATAAAGATTTGATACATTGATCTAAAAATGTATGATTTGAAAAATGTATCGTATCTTATATTTATTTGTTAATGTAAATTTTGATTGTTCTTCATTTTCTCTTTTGATCACTTGCAAATAACCTGATCTGACACCCCTTGATTTTTGTTTGGAGTTCTATCTGCACAACTTTTTAGATTATTCAAGAGAAATGCCAATCAATTCCGTCTTATGTTTGTTTTGAAAACATTTCCAAAATGTATTTAGCTATAGATTCATAATTTTTTTCTACAGGTACGATGAATGTGTTGAACTCCTGTTGAAGCATGGAGCAAAATCTGATGTAGAAGCCAGGATGTGTTTTCCTGGACCACACAACAGTAACTGTGAGCAGAGAGGAAAATACTGTGAGAGTTCTGAAATACATACATTTCTACGTATAACTGAAAAGAACATTTTTGAAGATTACTTGCACTAATCATGTTATATTTGAATAAATTTGTCTTAAAAAAATCAATATTCAACCATTGAATAGACAAACAATTGATTTCTTCTTTTAGCTTCCGCAATGCAGCAAGAAGAAACGTGCATTGAGAGAGATAGCAGAGAACGGATACCAAGTAGCAAACTCCAATCAGCCATTTTTTACGCTCTTGATGGGGATCAAGTGAATATTCTGATGTTATTAGCGCAGAGGGGAGAAGATCCGTGGGTAAGATTGTCAGATATTGATGTATACGAGGTCTGTTCAAAAAAATAAGGTAAAATTCAATTTTTCTCAAAAACATTCATTTATTCATCAATTTCTATTTTGTCCCCCTCCAAAGTAGTCTCCCTCAGATATAGTTCACTTGTGCCAGTGTTTTTTCCAATCCTCGAAGTTTTTTTTTTGTCTAAATTCAGCAATTTTGGAATAAACTTCGCTGCCACACACTTCATGCCCAAAATTTCCCAAAAAATTGCATATCATAAAGTCAGACCTCAAAGAAATGAAGAATGGTGTTCCTCAGGGATCCGTTTTAGGTCCACTATTGTTCTTGATCTACATCAATGTTCATGCAGTCTCATGAAACCAGCAAGATGTATCTTATTTGCAGATGATACAACTTTAATGTGCTCTAGTAAAGACTTAACTAGCTTACAACTAATGATGGAAGATAGCAAAACATTAGAGTATAATTGGTTTGCTGCTAACAAACTCACCTTGAATAAAGATAAAACTCAAAATATAATCGTATCTGCAAATCGCAATATTCCCCAATCAATATTAGGATTCACTATTGATGATAGATTGAGCTGGTCTTATCATATCAAAGCTATGTTCAGCAAACTTTCTACTGTTTTGTTCGTTTTGAGGCGACTGAACGATGTGGTCACCTTGATGACGCTGAAAAGAGCCTACTATGGATTATTTCACTTAGTTATTTCTTATGGTATTCTCAATTGGAGTCATTCAAGTAACTCGATAAGTGTGTTTAGGTGCCTGAAAAAGGCACCAAGCAGGTTACAAAGATCATTGTCGTCCTCTTTTTATTCAACTCGGCATTATGCCACTTACAACACTGTATGTCTATACAGTGTTACTAGAGATCCATGAAAATGACAAATTTGAAAGACATGGTGAAAATGATGCAAATGAAACGAGGTCCGCAAGTTTATTGAACCTGCCTAGACATAATCTGACTATCAGTCAAAGAAATTCATTGAACTTAAATCTTTATAATCATCTTCATTCATCTGTAAAGTCACTTAACCTCACTAAATTTAAATTTATTATCAAAAGCTTTCTCCTCCAACACTGTTTCTATAATATAGAGGAATGGCGGGATCTTTAACTTACGAAAGGCCTCATTGAATCAACATACCTACATTTTGATTTTAGCGACATATTTCAAAGATTTTATATTTATGATGTTATTTAACTTATATTCTTTACTTATATTTCATAGTAGATGCATTTTATCTCTGATCAAGGATTTCTGTATTTGTGACTTGTCATAAATGTACAACTGTATGGTCAAATAAACTACTCTATTCTACTCTATCATGAGCTATCCGATTTGCTGACATCCTCATCAACATCCCTAATAGTGATGCAAAGATTCTCCATAACAATTCTCTTCACTTTCTCAACATTTTTATCGGATGTTGATGTGTTGGGGGGTCCAGGACGAGCGTCGTCATTTATATCTTTTCGACCTTCTGTGAAAAGCTTGTAATATTTGTAAACATTTTTTTGACTCAGATTACAATCACCGTATGTCACTCAAAATTTCAAGTATTTTTGAGCACCTTATTCGATTTTTTACACAACATTTGAAGCAAATGTTGTAGTGAATGTATGTATACTAAAACCAATAATGATTGAGAGTAGAAGTAAGCCCAGTTGACAGCAAATCGGGGGCGTGCTTATTAATTTTTGAGAGGGTTAAGAATGAAAGAAAAATTCTTAGTACAATTAGTTAAAATATTCATACACATTTTTTATTCATTTCATTAAAACTTTGCAATATCGTAATACATAAATAATACCTTTTAATCGTACTAGTATTGTGTATTATCTATAATTTGCCACAACCTACAACTCTACTGCTTACTATATTTTGATTCTGCTATAAACTGACAAAGCAAAATTTAGATATGACAACGCGCTTTACTCTCAATCATTATTGGTTTTACTATAGTCAGCAAACTTTTAACATTAACCGTATTTTTTGAACAGACCTCGTATACCGACATTTTATTAACCAAATGCTTAGTAAAGGAAAGCAGTTGAGTAATATTGATAATAAAATTACCACCTACTCAAATATGTTCATCATCAGATCATAACAAATATGTGTGTTCTACTGTATGACTTCATATAAATTATTAATACATTGACTCATTACCTGATGAAAATGATAATAACAGGATAATGAACAATTTTCACCCTATGAACTTTACTCAAGATGCATTTCACTATGCAGTAGTTTGACAATATTTTCATGAATGACGTCATAGTGTCGCCATATTGAATTTGGATAAAATGGCTCCTACGCCGCTATTTTAAATAGAAATGGTTGATTGTGTTATATTGTTGGAAGGCCAACAATATAACACAAATGGCCAAAGAAGTACAAATTATTTATCACCAAAAATACTGTAGATACGATCACCAAGCCTGAAAAATATTCAAATCAATTATCAGAATGAAAAGTGGGCAATATTTAAAAAAAGATGTAAATTATTAATGCCAAACAATAATTATGAAACTCGATCAATAAAATATAAGTTCTGAGGCTAAGATTCACATGAAATATCTAATATCACATATAGATAGATAGATAGACATTTATTGATCATACACCAATTTACATTAGATTGATAAGTCAAAAAACAGAACAATGTTAAAACAGTGAAACAATAAATCACTTTAAAAAACATTTTCAAACCAAGCAACACTGAAAGTAGGTAGTACACTGTTCATTGACAGTCCAAAATGAATTCTTAAATACTATAAAATGCCCTAGATAACAGATAACACTTCAATTTTGTTTTGCTGATTCTTCAAGTCAAGTAGTTGACAATTTCCAATCTGAATTGGTTTCTTTGACGGGTTGGGTAGTGGTGGACATCCGCATTTTGAATAAAATGGTTTTTATGAATATAGGCAAATATTAATAATTCATACAAATAGATACTCGTGAATGTCAATATTCTCTTTTCTTTGAAATGATTCTCGAAAACCCAAATGGAATATCAATCGTATGATTCTTTTCTGTGCTATGAAGACTCTGCTGCTGCCAGTAGCGGGACTATAAACTATAATATTATGACTAATAGAAGAATATACCAATGCATAGTAAACGCTCATGAGACCTTTTTATTTAAGCAGCTCTTTAAATTTCTCAATGCAAAGAAGTAGTTATTCAAGGTGGAACATAGTAACCCAATGTATTTGTCCCATTTAATGTTTTCGTCTACGATTGTACCCAAAAACTTGGAGCTACTTTGAAATGTGATTGATGAACTGGTTATATAAAGGTTTTCACCGATGGCTCTTCCCGTAGTCGATATGTGGAATTGAATAGCAACAGTCTTCGAGTAGTTTATTATTAAATTGTCTGTGTCAACTGTCGAATTGATGTAATACATTTTAGCTACTATATATAAATAACAAAAAAATCAGTGGACACAGGACGCTACCCTGAGGGAGTTCATTCACTTTAACTATCAGTTTCCTGAATGAATGAACGGAACCAGTCCTCAATTTTTCCACATATACCGAGTGCATACATTTTTGTCAAGATGAAATTGAAGTAAGGAGTACTTATATGAACATACCATTTCATAAAGTATAATGTTTCAATATATTCAAGTAGGACAAATGTCATGCACAAGCATCATTTGTGAATGCTTCTGTGATGAATTTTTTGTTTATTCATAATGAAATAGTGTGTACAAATATATTCAAAAGATATAATGAACTGTAATATGTTTTTTTAATAATGTTGATGAATAAACATTATATTTCATATTATATGATACTACTGAAAGTAGGTACAAAATACACATCATATATTCGAAGAGGTAATGTTTTCTAATTTATTCAACAAATCAATTTTAAATCAACCACTGTATTAATGTCTCATAGCCGTTGAATATATAAATCATCATGGCATGCACACATATTAAATATTTTATAGAGATAGATTTATTTGAAATAGATATCCTAATANTCACTATGCAGTAGTTTGACAATATTTTCATGAATGACGTCATAGTGTCGCCATATTGAATTTGGATAAAATGGCTCCTACGCCGCTATTTTAAATAGAAATGGTTGATTGTGTTATATTGTTGGAAGGAAAATTTTATGTTGTATCAAATGGCCAAAGAAGTACAAATTATTTATCACCAAAAATACTGTAGATACGATCACCAAGCCTGAAAAATATTCAAATCAATTATCAGAATGAAAAGTGGGCAATATTTAAAAAAAGATGTAAATTATTAATGCCAAACAATAATTATGAAACTCGATCAATAAAATATAAGTTCTGAGGCTAAGATTCACATGAAATATCTAATATCACATATAGATAGATAGATAGACATTTATTGATCATACACCAATTTACATTAGATTGATAAGTCAAAAAACAGAACAATGTTAAAACAGTGAAACAATAAATCACTTTAAAAAACATTTTCAAACCAAGCAACACTGAAAGTAGGTAGTACACTGTTCATTGACAGTCCAAAATGAATTCTTAAATACTATAAAATGCCCTAGATAACAGATAACACTTCAATTTTGTTTTGCTGATTCTTCAAGTCAAGTAGTTGACAATTTCCAATCTGAATTGGTTTCTTTGACGGGTTGGGTAGTGGTGGACATCCGCATTTTGAATAAAATGGTTTTTATGAATATAGGCCAATATTAATAATTCATACAAATAGATACTCGTGAATGTCAATATTCTCTTTTCTTTGAAATGATTCTCGAAAACCCAAATGGAATATCAATCGTATGATTCTTTTCTGTGCTATGAAGACTCTGCTGCTGCCAGTAGCGTGACTATAAACTATATAATATTATGACTAATAGAAGAATATACCAATGCATAGTAGACGCTCATGAGACCTTTTTATTTAAGCAGCTCTTTAAATTTCTCAATGCAAAGAAGTACTTATTCAAGGTGGAACATAGTGACCCAATGCATTTGTCCCATTTGATGTTTTCGTCTACGATTGTACCGAAAAACTTGGAGCTACTTTGAAATGTGGTTGATGAACTGTTTATATCCAGGTTTTCACCGATGGCTCTTCCCGTAGTCGATATGTGGAATTGAATAGCAACAGTCTTCAAGTAGTTTATTATTAAATTGTTCTTCTGACAACACTGTCGAATTGATGTAATACATTTTAGCTACTATATATAAATGACAAAAAAATCAGTGGATACAGGACGCTACCCTGAGGGGCTCCTGAGTTCATTCACTCTATCAGTTTCCTGATTGAATGAACGGAACCAGTCCTCAATTTTTCCACATATACCGAGTGCATACATTTTTGTCAAGATGAAATTGAAGTAAGGAGTACTTATATGAACATACCGTTTCATAAAGTATAATGTTTCAATATATTCAAGTAGGA